ATATCCGTATATGAATTCAAACAAGTATTTTGTTATCTTAATGTTTTAATTAAATTACTAGTGTAAAATAATAAAACATAATTTTAATGTTGTTTATGACAATTGGCTTTTCTACTTCAAGTTCCCAAAAGGAACTACGTTGCCGAGCAATAGTTTATAAGGTGGTAATGCTCTATATGGGAATTAATATGACATTACAGCTTAAGTCAATGGCTATACTTTAACATGGGTAATGTTAAGTCTATGGTAATAATAACGGGTCATGGACACTTGCTCGAAATACACTTGCTCGAAGTACACTTGCTCGAAATAAACATGCTCGAAGACACTTGCTCGAAGACACTTGCTCGAAGACACTTGCTCGAAAATGATTTAATTGCTATTTTTAACATTATTATTAACATTAAATATCAACATTACTAAATTTATTGCAAAAATATTAATTTTCATAACTAATATGCCACTTAAACTAAACTATTTATAAAGATAAGAACAATAATTATACTTATTAATCGTTTTGTATTATAAATATCGAGTATAAATTAAACAAGAATATTGTTTAATAAATATATAAATGTTTTATAATAATTATAATGTTAAAAATAGCAATTTAAACATTTTCGAGCAAGTGTATTTCGAGCAAGTGTCTTCGAGCAAGTGTATTTCGAGCAAGTGTCTTTCGAGCATATGTATTTCGAGCAAGTGTCTTTCGAGCAAGTGTCTTTCGAGCAAGTGTCCGGCTCCCAATAATAACTCTATGAATAATGCTTAGTTTATGGCACAGGATTAACATAGGTAATGATAAGTTTATAGACAACGATAAGTCTATGGGACTAAAGCTTTATAGTAAACGCTTTTAGTAAAATAACAATGAAAAATTTTAAAAAAAATGATATTTATTTAGCAATGCTTTAAAAATTAAATTTTTAAAATACAATTATTAAACTCGAGATGTAAAGACTATCTATTCTTTGATCAGCATCTGAATTGTGGTTAACTTATAGCATCGCTATGTGATCCTTGTTTGGTTTATAGGATTGTTCGGTCCCCGCCACATTACGCCCCACCTTATAGGATTTAACATTTGATTACAGGTTAAAACTATATCTATACTTCAACATAAAGTTTAATAATTTGATATAGATTTAACATGGGTAATACTAAAAACAAGCTAAACTATTTATGACAAAGCTAATCCTATGAGTCGTGTTGAGTTTATGGGAATAATGCTTATTCTATGGACAATGTTCAGTCTATGGAAATAATGGTAAATCTAGTTAATTGTCAGGCACGTTACTTGTACTAATATTAAATATGTAAATTAGATAATAAGAATCTATTCCTTGAGTAATACCCCAATTGTGTTTTTAACCACAATTCAGATATGAATAATGTGGTTTATAGGATCGCTACCCCTCCTCTCGGCTCCTACCCTTTGGGATTTAACATGGGATTACAGATTAATTCTATGGCTATAATTTAACATGGGGCTAATTTTATCCTATGGGCAATACTAAATCTATAGGACTAATGCTAATCCTATGGACAGTGCTATTCATATGCATCACCCGAATTGTGATTGTGATATCATTGCTGTATGATTCTTGGTTTAAAATTAATGCCATACCTCACATATACCCGTTCCGTTAGGGAATGGCACCCGATATGCATGCATGGCGTCATTTTGACCGCCAGTGTTATCCGCGAAGGCTTTTCGAATTCTAGCGAAACCAGTTCTCAATATTCCAAAACCCGTGCGGTTGTCGCTGTCGACACCGAACCCAACCAATTGCACGTATTCTTCCCTCTTATTGACGGCCATCTCTTCGGGCAAACAAATCGAGTTAATACCCGACGAACCGGACGTACCGTCCAATGGTATCGCAGTGTTGAGTCGGATTAATCCCAAGTCATAGGGTTTCCATTGAGTGCGTTCGTACTCGGGATGAATGAAATACTGACCGCCCGTGTAGTAGGTATGGTTTGTATAGATTTGGTTTGTTAGCCCCGGATATACACGAAAGTCAGGCGCCGCACAGTTTACGTAACAACTGAAACAGTATTTATCATTAGTAATTAGAGGGATGGCGTGTTATGGGATGTAATTAATTAGACATGGTATTTGAATCATCAAACTTATTGATTAGCTACAATGTAGCTGCAATTGTCGCAATAATTGCAATTGTCGAGTAAAATGTTAATACAATGTTTAATGCAGTGTACAGTACGTCTAAATGCGCGGTTTTGACTCGAATGGTAACTAGCGTTGCCAGAAAATATTTTGGATTTCCTGTATAATTGTAAAAAATTTTCAAATATTTCTGTATTTTCCTGTATTTCATTGTTTTACAATCAAAACTTCAAATTCATAAAATATTCAAAAAATAATAATTTTGCAAAAATCCGAGTGTAGCTTAACTGCAATTGAGCAAACCTGTACAGATAATAACTACATGTACTGTACTGTACATTACTCGGCCAATGTTGGGCCAACTACTGTATATTTAATTATTCTATATAAAGTCCCGTCATTTCCAGTAAATCTAGTCTATGTTTATAACAAACCGTGGATTAATATTTACAGCATTCAGGGCTTCAAACATTTTCATAATATATATTATCGTGTGGTCAACAAATAAATTAAAAATGATTTAATACATACGATAAACAGTGACCACATGTTAGGATCCATCGCTCGTTCAGTATTACACCACTAAATCTCCCAAAACTTGAAAGCCAGAGAGAGAGAGAGAGAGAGAGTTTATTGAATTTTTATAATGTATATTATATGTGCATTATATTGTATTTATATTGNGTTTATTGAATTTTTATAATGTATATTATATGTGCATTATATTGTATTTATATTGTTTAAACATAATATTCTGTACAAAACCTTCCAAAATTATCTCTGATAAGCACAGCCCACGGTTGCTCTCCCTTCTGGACTACCCGTCCGTTTTGAATGCCGGCAAACATTGTATTACTGTTTGGGTGGTATGTAAAGCATGTGTTGTCCATAAGCATCCATTTCCTGCCGACTCCACACCCGGTAGTCGTTATATTCTCGTAGCTCTGAATTTTCGCATGACTTCCATTACAGCCAACAATACATACACTTAACACTTAAATTAACATTAATTTAAATTTAAACATTTGTCTAAATATTAATAGCATTTCTTACGTATTGAAGAGCCAACAAATATAATCATAATCAATAAAATATGTTGCTTGATTATTTAAATTGTTAATACAGTGAATGTATTATATTGGTATACTTGATATATCTTAGTCCTTAGGTACTTCTAGTGTAGCTAGGATAACGAAATTAATTTTATAATTTATGTTAACATTCCTAGGCACCAGAAACCAAGTTTCATAAAGATCGGATTATTGGCCTTTATACTGGAAATTTTTAAAATGTGTCGGTCGGAATTATTTTTTGAAATTTGGGCGAAAATATTTTACCAAAAATAAGCATATTTTTAGATTGAAAATATTTTTATGGTAGATATGTTTGGAGTTATTATTTGGTTATTGGGGTTCACTATTGGTTATCCGACAACAGTTTAGAGCAGTTATCACGACATTACTTATAACGGGAATTAAATGCGAACACAGGCCGCCAATCGTGTCGACTACCGATAATTAAGTGGCCACAGTTTAGGCATCGGTCAGAGTTGGCCAATAAATATGATATGATTATATACAGGGTGGAGATTAAGTATGTCTTTTTTTAAAAACGTAATAACTCGTAAACTATAAGACATAATTTATTCAATTCTTTTGCACCACATACACAAAAGTATGGCATGATTGAATCAGGTTTCCAAAAATTTTCGCCAACCATGACAGTCACGTGACGGATCGATTTCCAAAACTGGGCACTCGGCCGGTAATTATGTAATATTTCAGAGGTCGATGTTACGATAAATGAAAACACGGTGCACATACATCCCATACATTCCGTTAAATAGTTTATCAAATTATTTTTCAGTTTCAATTGATAGTTTACAAATGGCGCGCTTTTCAAAAAAGACATGACAAATTTATACTTTATATATTTTTTAAAAATCGCCCCATCTCTAAATTATTAATTAGAAATGGAAAAAATTTCATAACTAATTAAGTGCATGTATGGGCTATGTGCTCAACGTGTTTCATTTATCTTAATTACGATTTTCAAAACTTGACATAATTTACCCTTAATTTGGCCAATTTTGGAAACTTGGTCTGTCACGTGACTGTCATGGTTGGCGAAAATTTTTGGAAACCTGATTCAATCATGCCATACTTTTGTGTATGTGGTGCAAAAGAATTGAATAAAAAATGTCTTATAGTTTACGAGTTATTACGTTTTTAAAAAAAGACATACTTAATCCCCACCCTGTACATTAGATATTGACGATATAGGAAGAGTAGGGATTTTCTAGTATTTCTAGTATTGTTTGAGCATGATCAATTTACATGCGATTTTAACCGTCAAAATCACAAAAATAGACACCTTCCCATAGGATTACATTATTTTGCCTGACTTCGTGTAAAAATTTACTGTATAAAGGCTAATCACCCGATCTTTATGAAACTTGGTTTCTGGTGCCTGAGAATGTTGACTTAAATTATAAAATTAATTTCGTTAAAATATCTCTATTAAATCTATCCGAAGACTAAGATATATCAAGTGACCCAATATAAATAATATAAATTTTAGATAGAAAATTGTGAAATCTGATTATACATTAAAATATTGTTCATTATTTTGAATTTTTTTATAATATATATTTTATAATATTAAATTTAATAATTGCAATATTTTATTTCAAAAATATTTATCTCACATTTTTCATTAAATAGCTCTCTCTT